GTCTCTTTATCACATCGCACCGCTAGGGCAAACGATTCGAGTACGTGGAACGCTATTCCTGGTATACTGAAACCACGCCCTAAACTACACGTAGGAGCTTTTAACGTCCGAACACTGTGCCAAATAGAACAGTAGGCTTCCTTAGCTAGGACTTTAGAATCTCGCGCCATCGATGTGTGCTGCGTCTCCGAAACGCGCATACAGGATCCGAGTAGCGTCATTCATCTGACCTCACCATGCCAAAATAAAGAACCGACTCGATTCACACTTCGTGTATCTGGAAGCCCTGATTCTGCTTCCCGTGGCCTCGCCGGCGTAGGTATAGCATTGAGTCCCAGAGCAGAATTAGCTCTCTTAGAGTGGATCCCAGTAGACAGCCGTTTGTGCGCTGAACGGAACAGTAAGAATCCGAAAAGATAGGGACACCCGTCGTTGCCTCTTCGTCGTTCCTGCCTATTCTCCCACTGACTGCAGTGCAGATGATGTAAAAGATGAGTTTCACAGAAAGCTTTCCGACCTTCTCCGAAAAGCTAGGCGCTCTGATGTAGTAATAGTGGCTCAAGTAGGTAAACTAAGCGATAGGGAAAGACACCTAGGTGGATCTTATGGTGTCTTGGCTCAAAGAACAGATAATGGCGACCGTCTGTTGCAGCTATGCTCAGATAATCGCCTGTTTCTTGCAAATACTAACTTTAAGCATAAGGAAAAACATCTTTTAACATGGCGACCCCCTAATTCGTCCCAACGTTGGACACAAATAGATCACATCGCTATCAGCCACCGATGGAGAGGCTCGATAGGAGACTTTCGCTCATTCTGGAGCACATGCTTAGATTCAGATCATGCTCTAGCGCGAGCGCGTATTTGCTTGCATCTTACTGGACGTAAAAAAGACGCTGCAAGTAAACCTCTTAGGGCCCTACTTAATGATAGTCAAGCTGAGTATATTTCAGGAACAACTAGGAAAACAATTAGGCAGCCATGTATGTGATGCCCACCCCGAGGCAGCATGGGATGATATCCGAAAAGCTGTGGAAACAGCAGTGATATCTGCTAGTACGGTAACCCGTAAGGTTAGGGAGCAACACTGGATCTCAGCAGCATCTATCGCACTGATAGATGCTCGGAAACTCATTCCACCTGGCTCTGAACATAGTAAGGAGCAGAGTCAGCTTAAGCGCAAGCTGACAAAAAGTCTACGCAATGATCGCGAACAGTGGTGGGTAGCGAAAGCAAGAGAGATGGAAAAGGCAGCGGCAATAGGTAATAGCAGACAATTGTTCAGACTCGTTAAGGAAACCGGAATTAGGAAACCAACTGTTAGCGAAACAATCTCAGAGAAAGATGGACATATTATTCATTCTCAATCCAGGAGATTGGATCGATGGGCAGAACACTTTAGGGATCAGTTCAACTGGCCTTCAGCCACACTTCGGTTTCCCACGATCCCCAGTCAACCTGAATAGCAAGCTGATGTAGGTCCTCCGTCTCTTTACGAAGTTGAAAAATCCATAGGAAATCTGAAACGAGGGAGAACAGCAGGCCCTGACAGGTTTACTCCTGAGATTTTTAACGATGGTGGTCCAGTATTAGCAATGAGATTAACCGAGGTCTTAGGTAGAATTTGGAAACTGGACGTAATCCCATCTGACTGGTCTCAATCACTGATTGTGCCAGTTTTTAAGAAAGGACAAAAGTCCTCTTGTGACAATCACAGAGAAATCAGTTTGATTAATATAGTGTCTAAAATATTAGCCTCAATAATACTTCGACGCCTAATCAAAGCTCGTGAAGAGCAGATTAGAGAAAACCAGGCTGGTTTTCGACCTGGACGTGGTTGTATAGATCAGATATTCACACTACGTCAGGTTCTAGAACACAGACACACATTCAGACGCCCCACAATGGTAGAATTTCTCGACCTTAAGGCGGCATTCGACTCTGTTGATCGTGAGGTTCTATAGCAGTGTTTATCACTGAAAGGAGTACCAAAAAAGTACATTAAACTTATTCAGGCTCTCTGCTCGAACACAACTGGTAGAGTGAGAGCTTATGGCGAACTGTCAGCAGAATTGATTACATCAACTGGCGTTCGTCAGAGCTGTCCACTCTCTCCATTCTTGTTCAACTTTGTGGTCGACGTACTTTTAGAGATAACACTCTCCTCATCTAAATTTAGAGGGGTTGAACTTCTACCAGGAGGTTCACTTGTTGACTTAGAATATGCTGATGACATAGTTTTATTTGGTGAAGACACTGACAAAATGCAGTCTTCTGACCACTCTAAGCAACAATGCAAGCATGTTCGGGATGCGATTCTCTCCCTCGAAATGCAAAATGTTGCTTCAGGATTGGGTTACATCGACACCCGAACTAATGATAGGGAGTGAAGTAGTTAAGTGTGTCGATCGCTTCACTTATCTTGGAAGTCTCATCAGCCCTTGTGGTCTGGTGTGTGACGAAATCTCAGCACGGATACAGAAGGCTCGACTAGCTTTTGCCAACTTGCGTAATTTATGGCATAGGCGAGATATCCGTCTATCAACCAAAGGACGGGTTTACTGCGCAGCAGTTCGTCCCGTCCTACTTTATGGCAGTGAAACATGGCCGGTAAGAGTAGAGGATATTCGTAGGTTACTAGTATTCGATCATAAGTGTCTTCGAAACATTGCTCGTATGTCATGGGACCACCGAGTAAGTAACACAGTTGTTAGGAAACGGGTACTAGGTAAGTATGGCAAATCAACTGATGAAGTAGTGAAACTTCATCAGTTGAGATGGCTGGGACGTGTTACGTATGCCCAACGACCGACTGCCTCGACGTGCGATGTTCAGTGGTATAGGAGTAGGTTGGAAGAAAGCTAGGGGCGGCCAGACCAAAACATGGCACAAGTCCATGAAGTCACTGACAAGTGGACTGAGTCATGTTGGTAGGTGTAGACTACCTGGTTGGGGACCGCGAGGTGATAGCAACCGATGGTTAGAGACCTTGAATGACATGGCTCCAAATCGTTTGCAATGGCGCAGGTGCATACACTCTTTGTGTTCTCCCAAATTCTAATCTTCTGAATTCTTCATGTCCCTTTTTCCTCTTTCCTAATTTATTTCACTGAATTATGCTCTTTAAATAACATCTCCAAACCCTAATCTTCCCGATCACTGCTTACACTCTTGCTACCTCTACCACTACGGGATTTGGATCGACAACTGCATCTCTGTGTTAAGGTGGTGTGGCAACTCGAACTGATGTACGTAAGTACGAAGTTCTACGTTGTTACTGACTGACTGCATATTCATCACGTGCAAAATTAGCGGGAATAATACACTAAGTGAATATTTAAGTTGATAACTTTAAAATAAATTGACCTTGTTGGTGATAATGATGGTATGGGATAGAATGAAAAGCTTCAGAATTGTTTGTCATTGGAAATACGAACAACTAAAATAAAGATTAAGAGTTCAGTACTATCCAATATTATGTTTGTCTATTTTATGATGTGATCACTACTCTAGGTAGCTCGACATTGAAATAGCATTTTTACTGTTGTGATTAGAGGAAATTAGTGAGAAGGCTGATATGTGTAAACCCATTTACCAAGTACAGATTCATATACTTGGTTTCAAACCACACACTATGAAATTTAGTAATACTACCTGGTTGTCCAAACCATTAAGACACTAAACAGTTGTTAATTGTGAGCAAGACAGTATCTCCAAACTTGAAGGGAACGATACTATATGAAATGCTAATCCGCACCATTTAGTAACACAGTTAGAAATGTTATCAATATACCAACTTTTGTTATAAATCCAGAGGAATTCGAATTTACATGAAAATCATATTGAATGATACAGTTGATTTATGGACTGAATATTTTAACCACTGAAAGTAAGATCCAATCGACAGATCACATTGATACAGTATACTTTTTTCTGTACCTATACTTATTCGATTGCAGGAAAAACGATAGCAGACTGAAGAATTTCTCAACCTCGTATGGGACTCTTGAATTGAGGACCTATGATCCTGACAGCAATCAAACATAGGATATTGAGTTGTCGTTCAGTGGTACATACTTCCAACTTTGGTTAATTAGCGGCATAGCGAAACTTTTATCTAACGTCATTGATGACGACTATTTCGATTCTGACAAGACGAAACTCCACTTCCAGTCCATCCTGGCTTTCAATGGTATGCCAACTGACGTAGGTTCGTGACGCATATTACTTCCAAACTAAACCAGTCACAAAAACCAATCCAACAGTACTGATAAGTGTGCTTTTCCGAAGACTCACCTAATTCGCTGCAAAAAAAGTGGATCAATGGTTATAAATGTACAACAATAACACCTTCTTAATACAAGTTGGTCAAGAGGCTAAAGTTCGATCTTATTACAGATTCAACTTATTGTTTGTACATTCCATTACATCATCGTTTAAATTCTTTTCTTACAGACAGCTGCCACTTTGATGTGTTGATTAGGCTTACTGATTATGGTAACTAAGCTGATCCGTGCTAATCAGAATGCCAGGAATCTAATCGCTTGTTGTTGAACAAACACAACTAAAATTTAATTGGATGTATGATATAGTAAAGAGAACTAACTCATAAATTACAAGCTCCCATTAGAAACTACCAACGTAACTATGATTTTAGATACAAAGAATGGAGGTCGTGAACACACACTTTGAAACCACTTTTGTTCTACATGGACGCCTTGTGGTAAAACTTAAATCAGAATCAAATAGCACTCAAAAATGAGTAAAACTGGACGAACTACTACTTCGTAGAAATTTTAGATCCAAACATCTAATTGTATTATATCAATGATGCCATTCTTGTGAGATTTAGCAATACCGACAGGCGAGTATGAATTTTTGTTGGAAACGCAATGACCACCATAAATCCAGCTAGTGAGCCAGTGGAAAATATATTCTACATTACGACTGAAAAACTACTGTGAAACTTGTGCATACCGTTTTGCGAAAAAAATCGTACTGGTGAACCGAGTTTTAATATTTAAAACGATCTAACTGGGACAAAATTATTTTAGTCCTGGAACAAAGTGTTACAATTAAGGTTATTGATAGTCCATCTGTAATATTTAGCTGGTGTTAAATAAGAAGTCCTTTTTTAGTTTTGCTTTTTAATATTTTATACACAAAATATTACACAACACTGTATCAACTATTCTCTACTTCTTGCGCCTCCGTTTACCAATTTTAAGCCCAGTAGTCCTTTTACCGCCTTCATTAACACCGTCATTATCGTTGTCGACAACTGGTATTTGATTCCACAAGTCTTCAAATTCTTTTTGTTCTGTCTTAGATATGCCGTAAGAACTTTCAACTTTTTCTTCTTCGTTTGAAACACTAATATCATTGTCTTTCTTTAAAAAGTTCTCAATATTCGCAAAGCTTGCATTTCTACGGACAAGAAATGATGTTACAGGGACTTTAACATATATCTGTTGCACAATTAAAAAACAGAATAAATATAATTGTAATAAAACGCGTTACGCATGGCTTAATTCAAAATGAAGTTTACACAGAGTACAAAGTAGAAATAAAGCTAAATTATATAGGTAATTACGGACTTTAAAAATATGTATTGTTATACATTATAAAGCCTTACTACACTGTTATAAACCATGAGTACGCTTAATATGTAAGGAACACTGTCGTATAATATTTACCTATTCATAACTTTTGCGTACTTCATTTCAAATAAACCATGTAATGATACCAGCTTATCTCAGCTATCTGATGATCGAAAACAAACATCTGTAGTAAACAGTAATAATGATTTTTTTTAACTCTTCAAGACATTAACTTATTAGTGAATAAATCAAATATTGGTTCCCTTCTTTTCTTTTTTATCAAATCATGATTCAATAAGAATTTCCCTCAGAGAATTTTCACGAGAACCAGTTATCAGTTGGCACACGTAGTATTTACCAAAACAGTTTCGTGAAAATTCGTGTAGTTTAAAAATAAATTATCACAGTATGATATCTGGTGAAGAATAAAAAATCACAGAATACTATACGGCCTGCAAAACTCCTCACTTACTTACTTACGCATGTTGCCCCTCATCTATGGGTATAAACCGCCCACCACCATTCTCCACCCGGCTCTGTCCTCGGCAAGCCTTTCCCGCTCTTTCCAGTTGCTATTCATCATTTTGGTATTTGCTTTCAATTCTTGATGCATTGTGTTCTTTGTTATTCCTCTTCTGTTTCTTCTTGTTCTTCCTTTCTTGAATCTTGTGCAGGGTTTCCATACAGAGTTTGTCAGTATTTTTAACGAAGGATGTACTGAAACTTGATAATGCTGTTTCCCCAGTTGTCCAGTTCTTCTTTAACATCACTTTGATCTTGCCAGCCACCAGGTTGTGATCCGAAGTTATGACAGCTCCTTTCCTGGTTCTCATGTCTTCTATTGACTTTCTGAATTTTTTACTGATGCAAATATGAGCAATTAGGTTCTATGTGCTGTGATCCAATGAGATCCATGTAGCCGTGTGTGTTTGTGGGGGAATATAGTACTAATTATAATCATTTCATAGAATGCACATGAATTTGCAAATCTGTCACTATTCTCGTTCGTTTCTCCTAGTCTTTCCCGTGATATTTTCAAACCAGGTATTGCCCATTTCGAGGAGCGACAGTCTTGTACACAGCCGCGCCAGCGGTAGTTGATCACGATGTAATCAGTCTTAGTCCATCGCTACCTTGGTGTTTAGGTCTTCCATCAAGATGGTCAGGTCCTTTCCTGGTCACATTTCCACAATCGATTCGATCCTCTCATAAAACCGACTTTTAGCGTCGTCGTTGCAATCATTGGTGGGTGGATGACATTTGATAACATTCATTGTGATTCCCTTCTTCTTTGTCTTGAATGATGATTTGATTATTCTGGATCCATGAGGTTCCCATTCAGCAAGTACTTTTCGTGCTTATTTGGACAGCATCAGAGCAAATCCCTTCGTTTGTGGAGCATTTGCGTCTTCGTGATCAGAGTGCAGCAGCATCTCTCCCGAATCTAGTTTTTTCTGTCTAGCTTGGGTCCAATGTGTTTCACTTAATTTGAGCACCTCCAAGTTGTATCTCCTCATTTCTGTAGCTACTCGGTTAGTTCTCTGTCTCTCACATTGTTTGGGCATTCTACGTACCTATATTAATTATTGCTGTGGTTGTTAGAAGGGACATGGGTCTCGTGACCTTCGAAGAATCTTGGCATTCAATATGAAGTGTCTTAATTTTTCTGAGAGATCCTTCAAATTGGAGGGTATAGTTTAAATGGTTTAACTTGTTTATTCTGGTTAGCATTTTCAGCAAGGTTGTTTTCCACGCGATGTGATGATGTTGTCAACCCTATGCCCAACCCTTCTCCCTATCATTATTTTAAACGTTGACACAGACTAACCCTGAAGTAATATTCTGCACTTAGAGGGAGAGAAAAGTATTTCAGACATACTTTTGCTACTGAAGATGATCAAAAGACTGTATTTTGTTCGAGTCCTTGCCAAGTAGAACTATGTCATCGGTGTATTTTAAGTCAACAAGTGAATCTCCTGGTAAGAGATGTATTGCTGAAAACTAGATGATACAAGCGACTTTCTCAAAAGAATTTCTATTACAAAGTTAAGTAAATATGAAGAACGTCAACAGTCCTAACGAACGCCATTTGAAGTTACCAATTCTGATAACAGTTGGTTATAATCCATAAGGACCCCTTATTTTTTCTTGCTTTACATTAGCTATAACTTTGTCAACAAGAGTTTCAGGACTTCTTTTAATATCCTATTCACGTTGTTTTGGGACAGTATGTAACAGGAAGTCAGTTGCACTGTCGTCCTTCCCATCAGTCAGTGAATCAGCATCCTTGGTTATTTGTTACATGAACGTTGAAATATATCACTTCTCGTGCTCAATGAGATGCGAGATCTTGTATTTTATATTACCTGAGTGAAACCAAGAAAGTTATCTATTAGGTCTTGGATTTCAGTGGTTCTTCAGTCAGCTTATGATCGAAACCCATTCAAACAAAACGTCTTCATAGGACCCCATTACCAAGTCAAAAAGACTAGTTCGTTTATCATATTTACGCAGAAAAATGAGATGACCACTAACTCTTAAGCTACAACACCATGGACTTAACTGTGATTGTTACTAAAATTTTCAGCAATCGAAATAAGAGAAAACCAGAAGAAATGAAATTTGTAATAAAACTTCTAGTATGTTTGGTATTACCTTTCCAAGACGCTTTCCAGTATCGCGATTATAAATTCGCAAATACCGATCTAGCGAAGATGCTACAATGATTGGTTCACTATTTACAGCTGCTTCCATGAACGGAAATGTATTTTCTTCATCAGTTCCACTACATATTAAATGCGTTATACAACCTGAAGCTCCAGCAAGACATCGAACACCAGAAGGTGGGTCAGGTGCTCGAGATCCGTAGCTTCTAACTGGTATAACACCAGGGCCATCGGAGGAATTCAAATTAGAATATTCCGGAGGGAGTCTTAAATCCAAAACAGATAATTCACCAACTGCGTTCCCAGCAACAACACGTAATCCTATGCCTGGAGAGTTATCGTAAGCTACTGCTTTTGTGATTGGTCTAGTAGTGGTCAAATCCGGAAGCACTGCACTGTGCTTTCCGGAACCAACATGGAGTTTTCCATGTTTGCGACTTGTACGCCAAGCATGACGAGCAACAGGTCGACGTTGGCCACATCGAAGGTCGTATATGTCCAGCTAAATATGAGTAGTGAAACAGTAATATGTAAAGATCAAATTAAAACTAAATAACGAGTCAATGTTTCCACAAACTACTTTAAAGACACGGAATAAATATATCAGGTTAGTTAAACTAAAATAATAAGCCATTTTATTAGTTTTCACCAAAACTTATCAGATAAAGGATATTACATTCGACTAAAGCGAGTAGGCACACCAGTGTCACTTTATATTGTCAAATATTTTTTTCAACAACACAAAGAGGAGATTTAGCAGGAGACAACCATGAATGAACAAGTAACCAACACGTAAGATAATGCGGCGATGTAGATGAAGATAAACAGAATGGACCTATAAGTGAATAGGATTGCTATTTTCCACTGTACTTTCCCGGTGTTAGGTGAACCCTACAAGTATTAAAAGTTGGGTTTTCGATTTAGGTTCATAACATTCGAAACACCATCACATAAAAAATACGGTATTCTCATTAAAATATCGAATTGGTAGAATCAATAGAAATACGGTTTTTAATAACCCTTTAAATCCCCCGAAAATCGGTTTCTCTTAGCAATAGTGACTGATGACTATTTTCTTCGCTTTATCTGAACAATAACAAACCATTTCAACCCTAGACTCCCAAATGTTACGTCAGTGTTACTTCAATGACTGATGCCAAAACTTGGAGTCAATCATTGAAATCACTAACTTCCAGTCTGAACCATGTTGGTAGCTGACTGGCTAACTATAATCCATTCAACCCTTAATTTTACAGACTAAGTGGAATTGATATAAGTCTACACCTAGGACACATGGTAAAAACTAACAGAGCTAAAGCATGGATGTAATATTTAGAATTTTGAGAAGACTTAAAGGGTGTTAATCTTCTCCCATGTGGAGTTGATACTTGAAAACCAGTGACTGAAACGATGTTAGGTTAGGATTCTTTGTGTTCAAGAAATCAAGGTATATATTTAGATGGAGAGTATTTGAAACACAAAAGACGTTTGAAAGCTTACCTCGCCATACCTCGAGGCAGTTAATATGAGCTTTCCATTAGACTTAGGTACAACGCTAATATCGGCAATCCATATGGGGACAGAAAGTTCCAGTACAGAAGAGCGGACGTTTTTAGCAGTGAAAATTGGCGAACTGTGGTTGTTTATATCCCACACTCGCAAGGCTAATTCTTTTCCCCCGACAACAATTTGGTTTGCCGCTAATTTTGCTGAGCAAATCAATCCTGATGCATTTAGCTGAAACTACAAAAATCAGTGAGCAACCAAATCGTAAGACGTACTTTCTCTGACGTAAAGTCACGGGAAAAAACTCTAATGTCTCCTGATGAATGAGCTGAAAGGATAAATCTGACTTAATAATCAAAGACGCACACTAACTTGTCATTTGACTGCAGAGAAACAACAGAATCTTCTTGAAACTTTGAGAATTTCTCGACAGGACTAACTGAGTGGCTCTTGGTGTCTAAACTATAAAGCTTTCCAGAACGGCACCCGAAAAGAACCAATAAGCGCTAAATAACATACGGAAATTAACAAACTTCAGATTCAAATGCGCCACACCAGCACATTGTACTAATGTTTTCATTCTTAATTAGCGAAGCTGGAGATAAAGTGTGATTGCTAATCGAAATTTCTATGCCAGTAAACTTAATTTAGGGGTAATACCTTTTACAAAACCAGCCGACGAGCCAATAATTATATCAAAACCACTGGCATCTGATGTCATGTCGGGTATATATTCTAAATCTTTTCAAGGTCGCTCAGCATCTCAACAGAGAAAATAGCAAGAACAAAACTTTACTCTCGGTGTTCAATTTACTTTTGTCAAAAATCAGTTTTAAAAATAATTAAATTGAGTTTTATTGTTTCGATGTTCTGAAACGATCTAACACACATGTGACCAGACACTGTTGCTAATTTGACATTCAAACCTATATTACATTAAATAGGTAATATCTTCGTCTACCCGCCTTACCAATCCCAACTAACTATCAACCCTCCACTCACCATTATACTACTGTGTCTATACTGTTATTGTTTTCCGTCTGAAGTTCAATCATTTGCGTGTAAGCAAACTACTAAGGTGAATTACTGAGTAACTTGATAACTACGTTTATTAGATTCGTCCGAACCATCTTTGTGATTTATCTTGATATCGCAAATTTATTTCCTGCCACGCACCAGGTTTTCTATGCATTTTGATATAGTCCACACAAGTCTTGATTTTTCCACTCTAATCAGCTATACAGAACCCACTTGGCTTTAAACTGTAGTGAAGTCCATCGGACTAAATACTGTTAATATGGCATCAGAAACCAGGCTCATAATATCAGATAGCTTCAGTGGCATTGACGTGACATTTAGATGCACATTTAAAATCTTATATGTTATTCTCAAACCGACAAAACATTGGCAAAATCATTTGTATAACCAAACTACTAAGTATCTCAGAAGCTCCCATGTCTAGAACTCGTGATACCACTGGGCAAATCATCTTGTCTTTGGAATTTTCAGTTAATCACGCTTTTTAAAAGCAAGTCAGCCACGCAAACTGCATTGCTGACCACTAAGGAAAATCCCCAAAAAGAAATCGCGTCTGACATGCTAATTCAAGAGACTGTTCGAATGCCTGTTACAAATGTTCGTCTTACAAATGATAAACTCTCAAAACTAAATTTTCCCACTGTACAACTGAACACGGAGAATCAACACTTCTGGGATTCCCTCAGTCTTCAGTAATGTGGATAGGAGGTCTATCGACCTATATTAATCCTTGCAGTTCGTAACACTGTGGAGGTCCAATTTCGTTTTGAATACATCAACAGGTGCTGATATTACATGTTTCGGTAGAGAATTCCAGTAATTCACTACTCGGTGCGAGAAACAAAACTGCAGACGTAAAAGATTTGATCTCGGTTTCTGAACTTTCTTCGAATGTCTTTTCAAATGATCAGTCCTAGACGGAAGTAAAAGATAAAACCAAAGTCATCGTTCAGTATACGATAAGCCAATATTAGATCACCCTGTATTCTACGGTAAGATAACGGAATTAAGTTGAGGTGTCGCAGACTATCTTCATAAGATAGGCCAGATAGACCTTGTACCATCTTGGTACCTCGTCGTTTGACTCGTTCCAGTATATATGCTTCATACTTGAAACATGGACTCGCTCATTGAATCCCGTATTCTAAATGTGGTTGCACATAAATTGGGTATAATAATCTAAACATTCCATCATCTAACTACTGGAAAGACCTACGAATAGACCATAATACCCTATAGCATTTCTCAGCAGAAGCCTTACAGTGACTAGTGCTTTTGGGGTCACTGCTTAATACGACTCCTAAATCTTTATGGTTCCTTACTTTGAGTAGCACGAATCCACAAATTGTATAGTGACACGATTCATCAAAGTTATTTAATTGCATCACTACACCTTTATTAGGATATACTTCTAGTGACCACCTGTCCAACCATTGCCACCAATGAGCAAAGATCATCCTGTAATACTATTCTATCCGAAACACTGTATATGAGTCTTCAAAGTTTTATGTCATCAGCGAAGAGTAGAACGGATGATTTCGCTATAGTTGGTAATTCATTCACATAAAGTAAAAAGAGAAGAGGACCGAGGATTGTACCTTGGGAGACTCCATTTTTTACAGGTACCCACATGAAGAGAGCTCCATTAACCCTTACCCTTTGTCTCCTGTCATCGAGAAAGTTAAATACCCAAATTACGACTGTATAATGGATTCCAAAATGTTCCAGTTTGAATTTAAGACCAGAATGGAAGACCTCATCGAAGGCCTTACTTAGACCTATGATGATCAGATCTACAGGAATATTCCGATCTTTTGCCGCAACCCCATATTCTCTTGCAATGAGAAGATTTATTAAGCATTATAGGCCTCTCTGAAAACCTTGTTGTCCCCTGGATAAGTTTGTGCCCTACCACATATTTTTTAACAGATACCCCTACTCCCAGCCTTATACATCGAATTAGTTATCGCCTCTTTCCAGTCTCTTGGCAGTCTGGACTGCCTCAGAGACCAGTCAAACAGTATCGCTAAAGGTTCATCAATTAAATCTGACATGGCCTTCATAATCCTAGGATGAATATCATCAGGACCACTGGACTTATCATATTTTAGATGCTAAAGTAGTCATAAGATATCACATTTCTCAATGACTACAATGTCCATCAACAACCTGCTACAATCACAATTAATCGTTGGTCGTTCTTTAATAATAATAATAATATAAATAATAATAACAATTTGTTCTCAAATAACAGTTTTTTACATGAGGCATGCCAGTTTACAGGCAAGATCGAATTGATAGAAAACACTTTAATGAAACATTACGATAAAGCTTCAGCTTTTTCGGTGTCATTTCTTGCCAAGATTAACGGATTTTCCTGTACCAAAAGTGATGGAATTCCATCGCTTCTTTGAGTTCACCTTTTTATGTACGAGAATAACCGTTTCGGACTATATCTACAGTCCGTAACCAATTGTTTTTCATATGATCGTTTAATCTCACTCATTAACGCTATACAGGAACTGTATTGTGGAGATGAACATATTCCAATGTTTTCCAAGAATTTTCCTGATTGGTCTTGTTATCCACGATGGACTGTTATTTGGTATGAACGAGGACGTAACTAAACTAAACTTTCCTTTAATTACAGACCATGATTCTTCAACTGATAAGCAAATATCTACAGACCAAGCTGTCTTAACAACGCACTCCTGAATGGCTGATATATTAGCTCATTATACATTTGAGCGAGGTGTAACCTGGTCGAACATCGTGTCCCTAGTTCTAAACGTGAATGATAAGCATGCATATTAGCAACAAAAAGGTTTTCCTAATAGAAACAATAAATATATATGTATATGAATACTAAAATAGTTTGCTTCTGTTTTTGACACAATGATTAAAAAAATTGAGACGAAACAAAGTTTTACGTAGGGTCTTACGTTCAGTAGTCGTTTAAGTGTTCTGAAAACCTCACTCTTCTCTCAGAGCACGTTGATTTCGGTCGGTCGTCATTGTGATTGTTGATTACTGGATGAGGTATCGTAATTGTGAGGTTCGTTCTTGTAACGAAAAGTCGACACGAACATAGTTTCTTTCTAAACACGCGGCTTTGAGATGGTCGATGTTGGTGCTATCATTAGTTCCGTTCTTACCGATTATATAGCACCTAGGGTCACACTAAAGGACTTTGAACAGTCCTTCTTTCTGGTTTTCAAAGGTCGTAGAAGTGAGTCACGACCTACAAAGACGTGTGTACCATATCATAGAGCAGGTTGAACGAAAACATCCGTTTATTGTGGTGGAGTGAAAAAAGATTTAGCTAAAGGCACCACGTTTTTAGGCTTGCCCGTTTAAGTCTATATTCATATCCCATCAAGGTGAATAATCCACGAATTCACCTGAACGCCAGAGTGTCATTCCATAAACGTCTTAAGCTGTAGTGTATCCAATGTTACTGCATTGTGAATACCGAAGAAAACGAGTGGAAGAGCTTTGGTCCATGATGAAACGTTTGCGACCGAAAGTGAAGCTTTAAGCTGTCTCTGAAAGCGTTCTATCAACCCGTTTACTTGGGAGTGGTAGACGGTCGTGTGGAATCGCGTGACCCTTAATCGTGTAGTCAGACAACGGAAAAGTCAAACTTCAAACCGGTATCCACGGTTTGTAGTGATAGTTGAAGGGCAGCTGAAGTTTTCTATCCACCGTATGAAGAAGGCGTGGGCCGCTGCTTCTACGATATCTTCCTTGATTAATACTGCTTCTGGCCATCGAGTGAGACAGTTTACATAAGTTAAGGGGTAAGGGTATCGATTTCAATCTAGAGATTCTACCAAATCCAGATAAACATGATCGAAACGAGCATTGGGAATTGTGAAATCGCTAAAAGATATTGATTGCGTCTAACCACCTTAAGATTCTGACAGCTTACAGAATAACTTCTCCACTTCCTTACGTTTCTATTCATACCAGGCAAGAAAAATCATTCTGCTATGAGCTTGATGGTTGCACGAACAACTGGATGGGAAAGTTTATGCGACGTAATGAAGGCGTTGCGTCAATAATGTTTCTGCACGCTTGGACGATCCCTACCTGTGGATGTGTCGCATAGTAAGGTTTCTTTACCTGTTCCCATCCGTTTAATGAGCAATTTTAGGGATGCTGAAGACAACACGAGAAGAAGAGCAATACATTCCTCTTGAAACTGAGCGAGTTTAAAGTTGGTGAATTTGAACCATTTGAGTTCAAGGTGGACTCCTTGGAATCTGTTCAAGTACGCTATACGAGACAAACCGTCTGCAACCACATTGCTTGTTTCAGAAATGTGTTGCATATATGAAGTAAACTAAAAAATATAGAAAAGACAATTACGTGAACGAAGAATATCCTTTTCAACAATTTCTCATCAGACTCTACAATTGTAAGTTCAAGTTAATAATCCATAAAATTGGCCAGATTTAAGGCAGAGTACATCATTTAAAATTGTAACATGTGAATCAAGAATTTTCTGTTAAATAAAGTCAAATCGTTCATGTTGGGGCTGACTAATATGAAGTGTTAACTTGAATCAGTTTAAAAGTGAAGTGAAATTGTAAGATAAATAATGGTCAGAACAAACATGGTCAACATGTTGTGTGAGAGAGAGAATAATGGAATAAAAATCAGAAATTACGTAATATGTAGGATAAAATGAATTAGGTCAGATATAGTAAATAGGGGTGAATGCTTAATAAATTTCTCAAAAAATTTGTCAAGCATAATAATACTGATGGTAAAGATGATAATAATGTTTGGGACATAAAAATAAACATTAATCAAATTACGTCACCATATTATAAAATTTATTATTAACTATTTGTCCCCAAAGTTGGTTTTTTGATCCCAACAGCAATCGCTTCAGCCGTCTGCAAGATTCTCAGTCTGACGGAATTGAGTAGACTGCCTCTAACACGATATATTATTGCGAAAGACTGCCCTATGTTGGCTGTCTGTTCCGTCTGAACTAAATGGATTAAAATGGAGTTGCTAACCGTTTTCACCACATTTTTGCTTAACCACACTGGAGGTACTTAGGAGCCCGAATGTACAAATTCCTAGAACATCTGCCAATATAACTTGCTCCACAGCAGCAGTTGAATTGAGAAATACAGAAAGAGGTGGATAGTCTAGACAATTTATCTTTCTACCTCAGAGTGATCATTGGACGTGTGAAAAACATTAATTGGTTCACTTAACTTCGGTCTTAGCATTTCACTAGATGCATCTGTAACATCTTAGGTTGGTTGGTTGAGTTCACCTCAAACAATTAAGCATATGTCATGAGAGAGCCTATGATGTCTGAGTGAGGCGCAGATGTGTTCTTACGTGCTAGATCAGTGCAAGTGAGGGCTCGATCAAGCAATTTCACAAACGTATGTAATGCATCTGCTATGTGTATTTCGGAGGGGAGACTGTTCCATATTATTGCATATTTGATGAAGAAGTTGTCCCGAGTTTTCGATCCGTATTTTTAAACTTTGACCATAGATACTTTGTTTCGAAGTTCGTATTCATGTGAATCTTGAGCAGGTGCTATCTTACATGTTGAATAAGTAAGGTTTTTGAGTAGTTTGAAGAAGACTTAAAAAAAGACTTAAGCCTTCCCTTCCAAAGGGGTTCTATTCCTAAGATTTGGCATCGGGAACTGTAGTCAATGATTGAGTCAGTCTTAAGTATTTTGCGGGTGAAGTCGCGTTGTATTCCTTCCACCTTTAGTATATCAGATAGGCGCCCGTTGGAAAATAAGAACGAGCAGTATTCAATGATAGGTCTTAAACAAACTTTATAAAGGATTTCAGATTCAGTTTGATAGAAATTACGGAGAATGAAGCCAAGCAGTTTCGGCATTTCATATGCTCTGGTTGAGATCTGTTCAGAGAAATTAAGACTGTGTGAGTAATGTACCTCTGTATAAATTACTGATGCCAGTCTGGGCAGTGTGTGGTTGTTAAGTATTCGTTTCACATTAAAAGACGTGTCTCCTATACATAACCAGCCGCATTTCTCGGTGCAGAGCTCTAAACTCCAACGTTTGCACCAGTCGTCTATCATCGTGAGTTCATGTTGGATTGTTTGCATAGTACTATGTACATCGCCAATGTCAGTTATATAGATGAATTTTAAGTCATCGGCATAGAAGTAGGACTTACATGTGCTAAAGCGTTACCGACTGGACGCTACTTTCAGGCAGAGGCCTTCGGTTTTCTTTTTCCAAGATTCTCGCAGATCTGGGTGGATTATTTCTTCTCTTTTCTTGGAATTACAGAAGATTACTCAATCCTGAACTATTAACATATAAACTGTGAATTTCATGCTATATGATAAGATCGGAGTTTAACCTATTCATGGTATTTATGATCATATTCATACAATAATTCATAATCATATAATTACATATATCCATTTTGGCTATACGATCAAACCATGCTCTGTCATTTTTAAAACCATACATAATCATATTCGACGAAGAATTGCAACTCATATACGTATTCTATTCCTAAAGAAATATATGTTTATATCGTGTTTGGATGCTATAACCCACGTACTTTATGTATTTACAGAATCTATTCAAACCTCTACATAATATCAAGAAATATATATAATCGTGCATGTTAAAGCACTGTACTCACTATTTCATGAACTATCATTTAAATCATATTTGGATACTATAACTCATTTGATTTCCGAAATTTCCTGTCCGATTCGGTGAGTCTGTCATAGTTTTTTTGACAGTATTTTTTTTATCCAAAAAGCTGTTTCATATATTTGTTCATAAAGCAACTTAATAATCTTGAACGGTAATAATCTTTTAAACTACTTATGTCTGCACCTCTCAATTTTTACTAATGCGGACTTTCAGTTTATATATGTATCACATACCGTACTCACTTTGATTGTTTGACACTGACTATAGACATTCCTAAATTACTTTATTATATAAGGCTGTCTTTCGTGCAATATATATGTTAAAATTTACACAACGTGCTCCTTTGTGTTCTATTTTGCCTCCAAACAGATACTGACATAAATACTACATCTCCACTACTATCTTCCTGCCATTCTCATCTCTTGTTTTTGACATATTCACTAATCCTCACGATATATTCACTCTTGGTTAAAACAGGTTTTGATTTCCAGACTAACTTAAGCCCTTGGAATTGATTTTTTCAACCACTTCTATTTCCAACATTTTGTTCAACCCATCTGCTATACGTCAATTTCTTATCATGCCACACAAAAAAATGAAGACCCCTGCTTCTAGGCATCCAGCAAGACGTAGGAAAACAACACAATCTAACACTACTACTGACACGATTTCCGACAGTTTCAACGAGACGAGCTACTCTGTTCATCCGGAAGCAGACAAGCCTTTACCAGTTGTCTCCATTCCAAACATGTTGAAGAATCTATTGGTAAACAGTGATATTAATCGCACCTGCAACCATATGGATGATATAAAAAAGTTGCAAGTAGACATGAACATTCTCAATCCGCTTAAATATCTCATCAACCCCCAACCTCAGAGACTCCAGATCAAATGAACGACATAAATAATTTCCTAGATCGTGTTGCATCAGAGGTATTTGAAAGAATAAGACGACCTAGCAATGCAATTATGTTTAATATACCGGACACATATGCCCTTAAAAATATCAAATCTAGTCTGCTTAGAGCCAGCAATATGACACACGTACCATGTGTATGCACAAGATTAGAAAGAAGTCATCCTGGTATGCACTCACCGATCTTGTTCAAATTCAACTCATCTGTAGACGCCAGTGAGTTTTTAACTTCCTCCAATCCATTGAGACAAAAACAGATTTTCAAGGATATTAAGATTCTTCCAGATAGAACACCATGCCATCGAAAAACAGGAAGAGATAGCTACAGACCACCAGCGTCAAACTCCCAAACGCATCATAATCCTAATGGTCGTAAAATTAAGTCCGATTCTAAGAGGACGTTCAGCTTTACAAGTATGCCCCTACCGAAAAACTCTTCTGAATCTCCTAAAGCTCAAAACCCAGAAGAAAGTAATCTCGATGTAGGTGGTATCCATCCTCTTAAGAATGTTGACTTAGATTCAACCTATAGTAGTTGTGCTGATGACGAATGGGATAACACAGTCCAAACCACTGTTGGTGCAACACCCAGTTACAGCAACTGTGCAACGGATAACAGGAAAACTAGTCATAACATTTATATAACTGACCGCACACTTAACCTCAATATATTCGTACCTCGCAAACCATCGCAGGTATGTTTAACAACACATGATTCTTCCCAAACTATGGAGAAGCCGAAATTAACCACAAACCTTGGAAATTAACGTCTGGAACATGTTACCCATACATCAGGTATAAATAATAATCTGAATTGTAAATGGCCACTTGGTCGCACACATAGACCTGATAGCCTTCTTGGTCCGGCTCCCAATATGTACACTATGCCTTTATCAGATGTTACATCCAATAGCAATGAGAAGACTTTTTTATAATTCCGCCAGCAACGGTAAACATATTTCAAATGATGACAAAGTGGTTGAATCTATTTCCCCTCGCAACACAAATCTTACCTTAGCCAATCCTACGAGTATTCATGGAACAACCAATTGCGATTTATACTCTAACCTGCTTCACTATGATAACTCTGAGTTTCTCATTCTTTCATTTAATGCCCGCTCTCTATCCAATAAAATTATTCATCTTAAAACCCTTTTATTCCTTGTAAATCCAACCATTGTACTCATTACGGAAACGTGGTGCAATTCATCTATATCCGATCACTCCTTAAATGTAGATAACTACGTTTTCTTTAGAACCGATAGATGTTATGGATTAGGAGGCGGTGAAATTATCTATGTCCGTTCAGACATTCAGGCGTGCGAATTTGAGGATAAATCTCTTGATGCCATAGACGACTTCAATTGGGTTACTGTAAACTGTGGACCTCAAAATTATCTACTGGTGGGATGTATATGCAGACCACCTCATACGGATACTAAGTTTGACAAATTACTAACAAACATCTTCTCCATTGCTTCGCACCAACCACATACTTTTAAAATCATCGGAGGTGATTTTAATCTGCCAAAAGTTACATGGGGTTCGACTCCGGTACCAGGTCGATATAACAAGCTAGTTGAAACACTAGAAATTTGTGAATGAGTTCAACAGGTCCGAAAACCGACTAGCGAGAATAATATACTTGATTTACTGTTTACAATCAACATAGACTCTATCTCAGTGCATACCAGTCATGAGTTTTTTATGAATGATCATAGAGTTGTATTGAGTATTATTCATTCTTTAAACACCATACAATTGAACTCTAAAGCTTCAGTGATGTACCAGAGCAGACATTTTGATCAACAAACCTGCAAACGAACTGGAACTCTCATTCAGTGTTTACCATGGGAAACTTATTTTACCACAAATAATGTTGACATTGCGCTTTCCAATCTATACCACAACCTGATATATTGCCTTGATTGCACTGCTCCAGTTATTGACCGTGTGGCTTATAATGCTAATAGCGGCCAGAATACTTTTAAAAGAAAGCTGAGGACGTTAAAACGCTGCTACTACGAACAAAATAACGTGTATGCACTTCGGAGTATACTTAAATTAATCGGCAGAAATGCTTCATCTAAACACAAGTATTTTATGAATATAGAAAATAAAGCCCTACATAGTAAAAGTCCAGAACTATCAATACTTCGTGTGAAGTCAAATTCCCTTGGCACGACTAAATTCTTCATAGTTAACGGAAGCATTGTTGACGACCCTAATATTATTTTCGAACAATTCAGCAAGCACTTCTCGCAATGCTACAAAACTGGCACTGAAAGCTCCATCATTACATTTCCAATGCTGACATCCAGACACCTATCGAAAATTGATTTTATACCCTCCAACATCAAGCAGGCCATATCTGCCCTGAAAAAATCTTATGATGGTGGACCTGACGGGATCCCTTCATCATTTGTGAAATATGGGAGTAAAGAATTCCCACTGTTTTGTTTGAAACTTTTCAATCTATCTATGGAATATGGGATCTATCCATATGTGTGGAAAACATTTCTTATCACCCCTAGATTCAAAACAGGATCACGTAGTGATATTGTTAACTATTGGCCAATTAATTTAACATCCGTGCTCCCAAGAACCATGGAAAAATCATCCACAAACACATATTATCATTTTTACTTTCGGCTAGTCTGATTAGCACATCCCAATACGGGTTTATGACTAAACGCTCATGTTTCACATCGCCTCTGGAATTTTTTGATCACATTACCCAGAGAAGAGATCAACAAGGGTTTATGACTAAACGCTCATGTTTCACATCGCATCTGGAATTTTTTGATCACATTACCCAGAGAAGAGATGTTGGTCAGTCAGTGATAATTTTTTACTTCGATTTTGGTAAGGCTTTCGACAGTGTCTCACACAAACTTCTTCTAAAACTCTCTTCATTTGGCATACAGAATCCCCTTTTATCTTGGCTCAAATCCTTTTTAGAAGAACGTAGCCAAATCGTTCATTTTGGATCTTGCTATTCTAAACCTGTGAATGCAACCAGTGGGGTTATACAAGGAAGTGTGACTGGTTCATTACTCTTTCTCCTTTTTACCAATGACGTGTGTTCCCTCTTTCAGTATGGCAAACCTTTCCTTTTTGCCGATGACCTAAATGTAGTTTATCCATTCTCTTCTCCTACCAAAGAAAGCTACACTTCAGCGGTAATCCAAGAAAAAATAAACAATTTATACGAATGGACTGTTTCGTGGAATTTGCCACTTAATGTTGACAAAAGTGGATTTATTCACATTGGCCGCTGCCTTAACTTAAATTTGACTATACATAAGCATACACTAAAACTTCTCAACTTTTCTGAGCACATTGCATCTCAAGTATCCAAAGCTAGAAAGTTCATCGGATTCATAATGATAAACTTCAATAATATCGAATCGAGATTGTTATTATACAGAAAATGTATCTTACCCTTTCTTGAATATGGTATTTTAGTTTACAGTAATTGCAGGCATAATTACTTGATTAAACTTGAAGGCGTTC